AGTTTCATTTTAAGCAGGAAGGCAAAGCTGAAAGAAATTTCCTTTTTATGGTATTGAATACAATCCTTCCTGTTACATAAGAGGTGTGAAGAACGGATATAGATAGAAGAATAGGTCCCTTCATATCTCTTGTCTCCGAGCGAATTGAAAATAAATTCCGGGGGCCTGTTGGCAATGGTGGACACATGATAAAGATTAGTTGATATGCCGATGTGCCGGTCCCTATTTGCTTTAGTAATTAGGAGGAGGAAACGAGCCAAAAACCTCTAAGACCCTTCAAAAATGCACACACACACACACAGTTTCACACTTTTCAGCACAATTTATGGGGTATGTTCTAAGCTTTCATCCTTTGAAGATGATCTTGGATGTGGCAGCGGTGCTGTATAATAGCCGCTTTGTGTAAAGTTATGTGCAGCGTTATGTAAAAGATACCAGAAGCAGTAAAGCAGAGTAATAGAGGACATAATAATATCAATTACATAAATGCATTAATGATAATTAGATACAAGCCATACTCATAATCTAATTACACGCCAAAATACGGTAGTACTGGTGTTCGTTATAGTTTAAAGTGGTGGGATTGAAAACTCTGTGCACAGTCACAAATGAATAAGAATAGTTTAAAAGTGCTGAATGTTTATACTCATATGAAAAGTTTATTTTTTTTAAAGATATATTCTGCTATATGTCTTATATTTGATAAATTGGACAGTCATATACAATACCATTCAAATTTTTGCGGTCAGTCTTTTTTCTTTTTTTGAAAAATTAATGCATTTATTCAATAAGGATGCATTAAATTGATCGAAAGTTAAAGTAAAGACATTTATAATGTTACAAAAAAATTCTATCATGAATAAATGCTTTTCTCTTGAACTCATTAAAATAAAAATCATAAATCATGTTTTGAAGTCCTTCGCTACTTACCAAGGCTGCATTTATATGATCAAAAATACAGTAAGGTTATAAAATATTATTTTCAGTATCATTACGCCAGTCTTCAGTGTCACATGATCCTTCAGAAATCATTCTAATATGCTGATTTGCTGCTCAAGAAACATTTCTTATCAATGTTGAAAACAGCTGTGCTGCTTAAAATTTTGGTGGAAACAAACTATGAAAAGAGAGTTGCATTATAAATGTCCTTACTGTCACTTTAGACCAATTTAATGCATCCTTGCTGAATATAAGTTTTAATTTCTAAAAAATGTAGTTTTGTGTATTTTTCCAAGCATTATCTGTTCACTTACAATCTACTTCATGCTGTGAATCCATTGATTTTAATGTGGATGTTGCACAGCAAGGAAGTAGAAAACAAAAGTGTTTATGAAAGTGATGCTCAGTTAGAATGACATAAGCATCCAGTGACCAATGAGAACGTCACTGAGGCAGGTCCAGTTTCAATCCAATTAACTGTATTCCATCTTTATTTCAGACTGACTTATTTCAGTTCTTTCCACAGCCCTAATACACAAATCTTGTGCATTCCTACGTCAAACGCCCCGTCAGAGCTGTCTCTAGTGCGTAAGCTCCCTAAAACTCTATGTGATTACATGCTGTGAGAGTTTTTCTTGTTAGTGTAAGTGTTAACTAGACACTTAATTAACTTAAGTCACATAATCTGACATGAATATTTGCCTCCATGAGGAGTGTGTGTGTGTGTGTGTGATCTCAGCTCTGCATAAATAGGTGAAAGTTTGCCCGTGTGAACTCCAGGTGAATGGTGTCTATGAGTGAGTCCGAGTCTGCGGTTCTCTCTGCTGTACCGTTTGCTTGAGGGGGGGCACTGTGCTCTGGTGTGTAAGTAAATGAATATGAACTCCTGTAGATTAGCCCATCCAATCGGATCAGAGATAAAGGCACTGTGATTGGTTGTCTCATCCATCTCCACTCGCCACTCATTATGGATACATCAGGAACGACACACAGCAGAGACCTGGAGGACCTGAGATAAATGAAGTATTAGATTTACAGTCATATTTACATGGTTATGTTGATCAAATATTTCTATATATATTTTCTAGTGTGCAACAAGCTTTTTGTTATTTATTTTGATCAGTCTCTCATAAAACAAGACTTGTCATTTAGCTTCTCAAGTACATGTATTTTGATACTGGAACCTTTAGACATTTACACTGGAAAACACAACAGTAATACTGACGAAGAGCATAGGGTTCTGAACACAACACAAGGGTTAAACCCTGTTTTAGAAATTAGTATTGAAATAACTGATGTGAGGTTGCATTGACTTATTATTGTCATTCAGTGCAATTGTCAAACTTTTGCAAGTATTAATCTGATAAATGTTTAGGTCCTGTACTTAAGATGACGGAATTACACCTCACTAATTTGCAGTCATTTCAGCTGCAGATCACAGTTGACCTTCCTGACATCTGACACTTAACTACAGCTCTAAGAACCTCCCTAAAAGGACCTGAGAGAGACCATCGTTCCATTCTTGTCTGCTGAGACGGGAATGTGGCAACACAGCATCCCTGGGGCCATGGCAAAATGGTTACAACGGACTAAAATTATTGCACAGGGAAAAAGTTTAGTAAGAGTAGGAAGTCGGTTTTGTGTCTTGCAGTGAACTTGCAGGCATCTAGAACCTAATTGAAATTGATAAAATAGAGCGTTCATTAGTTGAGCCATGTTCAAAGCCACTTAAAAATATCTGCATGCCTGTACCCAGACAGTTTATTTCAATATCAATCTGCTATGTTTTTAAAAAACACTACAAGCAAAACCATTGGTTTTGGTTTTTGGGCTATTTTGCTTCCGTAACATGTCTTCTTTCAGATTAGTGGGAAGAAAACATACAAATTACACATTTATTTATTCACTTTATTATTCTTTACTTATTACCTATTTGTGTCTTTCAGTTACAATGCATGCCTTTAAATGTTAGAAATCTCCACTTCTACAGCACTCACATACACCAAACTATATATTCTGAAAGTTTTTACTGACCGTTTCTTCATTTATCATTCAACTGATTTATTTAACATGTTTGTTTGTTTATTTTTTCTGGTTGTTTACAGTATTTTCTGAATAAAAAATATCCAAAATCCTGTCCATTAAAAACTTGGCTTTATCCAATGTTCAGATTTCTGATTTGTTATTGATTTATAAAAGCAATAAGCCAGCATGGCCAGTGTTCTACACTAATTTCACCATGTTTTACGGTGGTTTAGACACTTAGACACACCTTAATTGTGATAAACTCACTGCTGACTGCTTTGGTAATGCCTGCCAATTAGTACAACAGAAATGATCCTTGTGTCATTTGCAGTGATCTTGTGTTGTTCTGTTATCTAAAAATTGGAATATGTATTTCCTCGAAGATTTATTCAGTGTGAATAATCATTCTTTGTGAAATTTGTGCTTTAACGTGTGATATGATAAATTATGAGATCTGTGGTTTGCAACAAAAGACTTCAGAGCTTAATCTTGCGTTACACAGGACCTCCTGTGGTTTACAAGAAGAGGAAGTCATAAACTGAAAAGGGTAGCTTTAAAACAGGGGTGGGCAAACTTGGCTCTTCCAGGCCACTTTCCTTCAGAGTTTAGCTCCAACTCTAATCAAACACACCTGAACCAGCTAATCATTGTCTTCAAGACTACTAGAAGGCTACAGGCAGGTGAGTTTTATCAGGGTTGGATCAAATCTCTGCAGGAAAGTGGTCTGGAAGGGCCAAGTTTGCCCATCACTGCTTTAAAACCACATTCACAAAGCATGTTATATTCTAACTCAAATAGCTTAAGATTCCTTTTTAATGCGTTTGAACTGTTGAGGAGTAACAAATAAAAGTAGCAAGTTACCAGCTTAATTGTGTGACCAGGGAACACTTCCCATAACCCCCGATGTACTTGTTACACCGTAAGAAGAATCCAGACCAGATGGTGGATCAGCACCTAGAGACGACCTCTACAGCCCTGAATGTCAGTGGAGACCATGTCAACTAGATGAGCCCTAAAGACAGATCCCCTGCGAAGACCTCGTCAACTAGACCAACTAGACCATCGGCTCAAGACCACGAGAACCAGACGAGTCCTCTGCACAATCTAACTTGTGTTGCAGCCTGGAATTAAACCACACCATGCTGGTTTTGTCTGGCCAGAGGAGAACTGGGCCCCAACTGAGAGTTTTTTTTTTCTCCATTTCTGTCACCGATGGAGTTTTGGTTCCTTGCCACTGTCACCTTTGGCTTGCTTAGTTTGGGACACTTAATTTCTGGCAATATTGTCAGCTTGATTGCACAGACACTATTTGAAGAGAATTTAACTGAGCTGGATGATGGCATCACTGAATCAACAATGAACTCACTTAAACTGAAAAATTGACTGTTTACTATTTGTCCTCCACACTATTTCCCTGTTTAACACTGTAAAGCTGCTTTGACACAATCTGTATTGTATAAAGCACTATATAAATAAAGGTGACTTGACTTGACAGTAGCTTTTATTAGTAGTTTTATTAATAAGCTACTTTATAAATAAGCTATTAACAATTAACAAAACAAAAATAATATTTCTATGAACTGAAAAAAATATTTGAGCTCTCCATATGATTAGTTACATAATGCAACTATATTTTCAATTGAATAAGATATGAAGGTGTTTTATTATTAGTTGGATTTTTGAGATCTTTGTTGTTGTTTTTCACAACAGGTTTTGTTTGTATGTATTATAACTATAATTATCTACTTGGTAGGGTGGCTTGATTGTCATTTAATTTTAGCTTGCCAAACTATAAGCTTCTCATGATTTAAAGTATCTGCCTTAGCACTGCACCAAAATATGATAAATGCTAACCTGAACATTGTCTCAGCCTGCATGTTACCAAACCAGACCTTTAAGTGTGGACTGAAGTTTTCTCCGTGAAGCTCCAACATGGCCACATGTCCTCCTCCGTTCAACTAAATCACCAAGGACACTTGTTAGTGTTGTTTAGGTAAGTAACCCTATTTTTTTTTAACATAGAGCTTAAATTCATATTAAATATTGAAGAGATGAAATGAAGGAACATAACTGCTGGCTTGATTTCTGACCTCTAGTCCATTGATGACAGGTACAGGGCTGATGGTGGTCGGGTGACTGGTGAGATTCTCACTGAAGGTGTATTCAACCACCTCCGTTCCAATGATGGTCCAGCAGGAGCCATCATTCAGTAACACCTTATTACTTTCTTTAGGACACGGAGAGGCCTATAAGTTTGGAATGACATTGGGGTGAGTAAATGATGACAGTTTTCATTTCGGATTGAACTATTGTTCATATTTAACTGTCACTGCCTGTGTTCACCTGGAACTGTATGATTTTTTCATTAGACAGGCAAAGGTACATATGGTTACTGTCTCTGAACTGGAAAGCACATTTATGAAGCTGAGACACAGGCTCATCCACGTCTAGACATGCATGCTGCTTGTTCACTTTACGTATTACCTGCAAGGAAAGAAAACAGAATCAGGTAACTATTCACACAGCTGACCATTTTGTCCTTTTTCACATTTAACATCCCCCTAAAGGAGTAGTTCACCCTTTTTCACTTGAGGAAGCTTTATTATAGATTATGGACTCATATTTTGGCCAGAAGCAACGGGTTGACATTAAAACCATCTTAATTATGGATTTTTTTCCCTCAAACATTGATGAACATTAACTGGACTGGAGTGGTGTGGATTACTTGTGGATTATTGTGATGTTTTTATCAGCTGTTTGGACTCTCATTCTGATGGCACCCATTCACTGCAGAGGATCTACTGCTGAGCAAGTGATGTGATGCAAAATTTCTCCAAATCTGTTCTGATGAAGAAACAAACTCATTTTGGATGGCCTGAAAGTGAGTAAAAATTTAGCTAATTTGCATTTTTGAGTGAACTATTCCTTTAATAAAGAGCAACAGTGAGCATCTTCTTCTATAGCATTGTTTGCAACAAAAAAAAAAAGCCTTTTGGAACGTTTATTTTTAAGTGTAATTGTAGAAAATGCTTTCCATTTTTGTTCCCAGACTTCTGAAATCTGATACGAGCAGACTTAAAATAGCCATTAAAAAAAGATTCATCGCCCTTCTATCATGCACCACTGCACCTGGTCCCCCGCAGCACCTGTGTGCTGCACAATATGCCTGACTGTTCACGCTCCTCAGACACTGCTGCACGGCGATCAGAAGTCCTGCTGCATGAGGGCTTCAAATACAATAAATTGCAAACCAAAACAAACCAGTCAGCAAATTCAAACTAAAACGACATTGTGAAGGTCTATTCTGTTTGCTAGTCTGCTAAATGTGGTATTTAAATATCGTCCTTGACATTTTGATCAAGTGCTTTATCAGCAAATTGTAATGCAGGTTGGTAGCAGAGCGCCTTCCAAAAAACACCGCAGGGATGGAAATTTGTACAGAATAAACTTCAGAGACATGGGTGAACAAATATAGATCAACTTGCAGATTCAATTCAGAACGTTTTTTTTTAATAAAAAAATGCATGCAGTTTTGTTTGGTGTTGCTATTGAAACATAAATTACACATTTTACCCTAATTTCAGCTTGGATATCTTTTGAAAAGATGATTTGGCTGATTGAGAATCATGTAATAGAAACAAAATCAGTTTTATATTTGCATACTGTACCATTGGTGGCAGTGCCACTCCTGAGTCAGTGCATACCAGCTGAACCACACAGCCGTAACAGATGTAGCTGTCACACACAGTGTACTCACTATGAGCGGCTTGCATCTCCTCCACTATGAAGAAACAGAGTGAGAAAGAAAAATAGACTTCACTCAGATTCGGCCTTGAGTGCCGTATAGGGGTTAAACCCATTTATGCTATGTTTATTCCAGCTGTTGAGCACATGTTGCTGACATTTACAATTTGACCTTTTAGAATTTCTGCCGTTTTTTTTATTTTTTTTGTAGAATTTCAGGAAAACTGATTTTACTCTCATATTGCAGTGAGGCGCTAAAGGTGTTTGTGAGAGTTTATTTACACTGGACGTCCAGCATAGAGTATGGACCGATTTGGCCAGTTGTTTCTAGACTTGTTTGGGTTTCTTGTGTTTATTTATCTACTGTAGTGAATGGTGAATTAGTCACTAGAGTGATGGGCCAACAGCATACGCATTGGTGAACCCGGGTTAATGGAAAAACTTCCACAAAAGGAGCTTTGCACCTAGTGAGAAATTGATTTTTTTCCTCTGCACATAAATGCGTAATTTGCATGCAATTATTACTAAATGAGTCCCAATGTTAACCTGGTATGAATGTTAGGTAACACTTTACAATAAGGTCCCATTTGTTAACATGAGTTAATGCATTAACTAACAATGATCAATTTAGTTTTACATAATTTATTAATCTTTGTTAATATTAGTTAATAAAAATGTTCATGTTAGTTGACAGTGCATTAACTAATGTTAACAAATGCAACATTTGAACTCAATAATGTATTTGTACATGCTGAAATGAGAATAAACTAAGATTAATAAATGCTGTTGAAGTATTGTTCATTGTTAGTTTAAATATATAGTTAACTAATGGACTGAACTGAAGTATTGGACTAAAATAACTACTGTGAAACTATTTAGTAAAACCTTTTTGTAAATTGTTACCAAATGTCACCTAAAAACAGTAACACAGGATTTAAAAATATATAGTGTGAAATCTTCAAATTTGACTACCCAGGATTCATTACTAACCAGGGTGAAGTATCAGTTTTCAAATGTGAAAAGCTCATAGTTTATAGTTTTGGTCACTTAAAAGAACTTTTTTTAAAAGAGTTTTTTTTTTCAGTTGTTTGTATGAGGATTAAGATAAAGAGGAATAAAGGCAGAATAACACTGGCAGACAAAAAGCACTGGATCTCAAACCTAAAGTGACAGTGAAGGCCGTCCACTGTCTCGCGCTGGCGACAAAAGCCCCGTCTTCCACCGCCAGGTAACGCGTACTGACCGTCTGTGACCGCAAGCGGTTAAACAATGATACTTTTGAGCCTGAAGAAATACACACTGCAGAAACAAACAAACTTTTTAGAAAGTGTCAACAGATTTTTTTTTAACCGATAGGTAAACAAAAGAAACGCCATAATACTTTAAACCCTCACTGATACCTAAACATGCACATTCAGACCGACAAGCAGACAGCAAACACAAATGACGGATATACTGTGACTAATGCCAGTCTGCTCTTTTTCTTAATCTTTGTCTCATTGTCCGTCTCTCTGCCACAGAACAGTGAGGAATTCAACGTCACTTGACAGCTGCTCTCAAATGTCAAGCGCCTCTTTCTTCCCCAGAAGCTCTCTGTGGGTCCAACAGTCAATGTCAACAGAAGATGCCCTCTTAGTGTGTGCTTTAGGTTCAGAAGGTTAGAGGTCAAATGTCTGACTCCTATGGCAATGGCTGCCGGGTGACACCAGTTAGTGGCTTGACCCCGCTCCTCATGCACAAAGACACACCAACACGCTTACCCAAACTTACAGGAGTTCGGTTTCTACACCGGTTGACCCTTTTACATAACGGCACTTAGTCAGAGTAGACGTCATATTTAATTTGATGAAAATGAAGGATGACAAATCCCTGTTGGCTTTTGGATGACTTAAAATTGTAAAAACTTTTTAAGTACTGAATGTCTATTACTTGCGCAAAAATTAAATATGGATACAGACACACACACATACACACACGCACAGACTCACGGTCAGCGTTTTTCATGGACTGCCTCTTCTGTGATGGTTTAGAGATGACTTTAATGAGTCTGCTGTTGAATGTGCCAATTTCTTGCCCTCCACTGTGAAACAGGTGTAGCAGCAGGCGAAAGTGCTTTCGTTTGTCCGTATCTGAGATATACAAGGTTTTAGCGCAGGCAAACATCTGAAAAAAAAAAGACATAAGTGAGTCAATTGTTAACATTTACAAAAGTTCACGAGGCTGTGGTTGGTACAATTTTTTTTTAAAGAAGAATGCTCACCAAGGCTGCATTTATTTGATCAAAAATACAGTAAAAACTGTAATATTGTGAAATGTTTACAATTTAAAATAACCATTTTCTATAGTTGAATATATTGTAAAATGTAATTTATTCCTGTGATGCGCAGCTGAATTTTCAGCATCATTACTCCAGTCTTCAGTGTCACATGATCCTTCAGAAATCATTCTAATATGCTGATTTGCTCCTCAAGAAAACAGTTGTGCTGCTTAATATTTATTATGCTACATTTTTAGACATTCTTTGATTTAAAAAAAGTTCAAAAGAACATAATTAACTTGAAATAGTAATCATGCTGATTAATTTCTTACTGACCCCAAACTTCTGAATGGCAGTGTAATTGTCAATTGTATCTAAAGCAATAACATTAACATCAAAACAGCTCAGATCATTTGCTCTTGGAAGAAACATTTTTTCAGTTTATTTTGAGATCTTTTGATTGCATCTTGGTAAATCTGAGCACAGTTTAAGACATTTCTGAGATCTCATCTGAAGAGGAGAACATGTGTGTTTTTCCCTGCAACATAAATCTGACAAGGAAATAACTTTATCAGAAGTTTACTCTCCATTTAATCTCATTGCTGTTTTGGTGATATATTCAAGAGATCTTATTTGTGAGTATTATTTTCTGTGGTCAGGAAGTTTAAAGATCATTCTTTTTCATGTTCATCCATCTGCCCTCCTTACATAAACCTGGTTGTAACACTAGTAGAATAAACATATGATCCCATCTCCAAATCCATCTGTACACACAGCAGTCATGTTCTCTCATAAACCCGACAGACTCTCTCCTCTTTGATCGCTGGGCTTCGGCAATGTCTCACCCTCCTGTCTGTCTGCTCCTCAAAGCTCAGCTTGAATCTGTCTGTCCGTGGATCAGCGGAGCTGTCCAGACCCATGTAACCGAAAAGCCAACAACTGAACTCTCCTAGACCTGATGCTGTGTGAATACAAATGATAAAATTACAGTGAATTACAAGGGTAAGAATGAAGATGTTCTCTCACAGCTCACTGACCTTTAAGTTGCTCCTGTCTGAGTTTCCATCCGTGTCCACTGAGATACACGCAAGGAGGCGGACAGAAAAACCTATGAAAATGCACAAAACTTATTTTTGGATATGAGACATGAAGAAAGAGGGTGTGCAATAGTTTTACTTCTTGTAAATGATCCAGTAAGTGATAAAATACCTCTAAAACATTGAGGAAAATACATTTAAAACAAGTTTTTTTATTTTATTTAGCGCTTCACAATACAGATTGCTTCAAAGCAGCTTCACATTAATAAACAGGAAAATAACAGTGTTACTGTTGTAAAATTCATCAATTATGAAACAAATTCAACTGTAAAGCAGCTCTACAGGCGACAAGAGTATCATTCAGCTCAATTTAATGTTTAGTTCAATAACTGTCAATGAGTTCATTTATTAGTTTAATTAAGCTATTCGAAGCTGTACAGAAGGCAAGTTCATTAGTCAGTTCAGTGATGATTTATTTCATAGTTGCAAAGTTAATAACATTATCCAGTTGAATTCAGTTAAAACAAAAAATCAAAAAGCTTGGTTTCTAGCTATTCATTATCTGGTCCAAGCTGGTTGACCAGTTGGCGGAGACCTGGTTGAATGGGTAGTCCATCTTTATTAAGCTGTTTAGACCTGGTAGACCATCGGCTAACAAACCAGCTTCCTGTTCCAAAAACCAGTTTAAGCTGGTCTGATATGGTTTTTCCAACAAGATTCAGACATTTTCTTATCAGTTTACATTTTTCAGTAAATGGAAAAAAAATTAACTTAAATGATTTTAGCAAATGGCTGCAATATAACAAAGAGTGAAAAATTTAAGGGGGTCTGAATACTTTCCGTACCCACTGTATGTATGTATATGCATGTATTTTTCACTGTTGGAAATGTAAGTGCATAGATGAAAATCATTTTTACCTCTTCTCATTGCCGTAAGACTTCTGAGCAACTTTGGCATGTAAGATGATCACTGATTGGTCAGGTCTGAATTGAAGGTATTGCCTCACTGAATCTCTGGTTACTTTTGGCAACGGGGAGAAATTCTGGTCCTCCCTAGTGATGCACAAAAATTTTTATTTTAAACTTAGTGTTACAAAATGGTAAAAGGGTGGTAAATCAAAATGCATCCTCTCCAAACTCATGCAGTTTACCCTTTCAAGTAAACTAGCTGTGCATTTCTCAAAGATCCAATCATGGAATAAGTCCTTTCCAGTTTCGAAAAATAAATATTGGTATTATCTCATAAAGTAGGGGCATTAACAGCCTTCTTGGCTGTCCTTTATGTCTGTGGTGGTCTTACAGCGCTTTTTGACATTAACCATAGAAACAAGCAGCATTTATGATTCAGTAATAGATATGAGTTATGATAATAGATATTCTGAATACAAGGCATTTTTTTTCTGTGGGTAGTTTGAATGTGTAGACTGCAGTAGAGATGAAGAGGACAGTAACTTTCCAATTATTAAAAAAACAAAATTTTTATAGAGCTAGAAAATGTGATACATTTAGGGCAAAATATTTCAAAATAAATCCTTTTTATCCCAATTTCCTTTTTAAATCATTTTAGGATAAATGCCAATGGCACAGAAGGGGAGCCTTATGTGTAAATATAAGAAAACATGTCCCTTTGTGTTCCTCAAAAGAACTAAGATCTCATGGGTTTGGAATGACATACTGGTGGTGAGTAAATAATGACATGATTTAAATTTTTTGGGTCAAGCACAACTCTCTATTCTATTCATCAAAGAATCCTGAAAACAAAAAAAGTATCACATTTCAGTAAGCAGCACAATTGGTTTCAACACTGATGATAATAAGAAATGTTTTTTGAGCAGAAAACCATATTAGAATGATTTCTGAAGGATCATGTAACACTGAAGACTGGAGTAATGATGCTAAAAATACACCTTTGACATCACAGGAATAAATTACATTACTGTATTTTTGATCAAGTAATAGCAGCCTTGATAAACATGAAACACTTCTTTCAAAAACAGTAAAAACGGATTAACACAACTCAATACTTTGAACTTAATATGATCTGTTTGCAGTTTCTCATTTTCAATGTTTGACTTTTAAATGGCAAATTTTATTGCTTACTCAATTTGAAACAGCTTGGGAGTTATAATTCCTCTTATTAAGACCCCAAGGATATAAATGTGATATTTCCCAGCAGAGTGAAGTGCTTTAATTGAAACTCGCGTCATTCCCTAGGCTTAGGATGTTTCAGTCAGTCTGCCTGGGTTTTATTTGAGGCCTTCCCAGGAGGATACAGGGTCAAAGGGGCACTGATGTTATTTCCCACTTTGAGCACATTAGGATGAAGGTCAAATTTGATCCCAGTGTTTGCCTTTTTTTTTTATTATTACACACAATACTTATAATACATTGTATGGGTAGTTGACATGAAGAATCATGCAGTTTAACATGCTGTACTTTAAAACTATTTTAACAATGTTTTTTTCTAATTCCATTATCATACTTAAAGGACGATCTAAAATTCACTTTCCCTTCATATAAACTGCACTCCAGTAAGTTCTGAAAGAGTTTTATCCCTACTATCTTTATTATAGCCCGTATTAATATTTCATAGGAAGCCTATAAAGAAACTAGCATGTAAATGAAATTCAGACTGAAGTCAGGTTTGTGTTCACTGGCACTTCAAGAGCTGGTGCATCAATCGTGGACTAAAGCAGAACCGTCCGCAAGGAATTTCTGTAGGCTCACTGAAAGAAAGCGCAAATGTTCTCTCTCCTGCTGCAACCCCCCAATGAAATCCTGCCTGCTCTTCCCATTTCGGACGTGGGTGGGATCTACATTTTAAACGTGCTCTGTAGATTTAATACCTGGCCAATGTCTTGACTGTTCACTCTATGCTTGAATAATCGCCTGGAGAGGTTACTACTCACCTTAAGGAACTGTTTGAATCTTTTAAGGCTTTCTTAACCACTGCCGCGTCATTTTGTCGTATTTTTGGATACCGTTGCGCACTTCTACTGGAGAGATTCTACCTGTGTCATTACCTGAGGTGAGTGAAGCACGCGTCTGATGTGTGCAGGTGAGACACTTCTGTCGAGTCCACAATGGCCAAGCCTGGAAAATTAAGAGAGAGAAAAAATGTATCGTTGCTTGCGATTTAATTGTTTTATTGAGTTGGAAATGGGACAAAAATGAAACTGTTTGTTTGACGACCTGGACGGTAAACTTCTTAAAAAAAAAAAAAAAAAAAAAAAAAAATTTTGAATATGATGACATACATTTGGATATAAATGTCTGGCACGAGATTTAATTAAAATACTTTTTTATTAGGCTAATATTTAATATGTATATGTATGCTATTTTTAAATGTTAGCCTATGGGACGTTCAAAATAATGTTGTGAGCACATCACGTGGTCTTTTTATACCCGCGAAAAGTGCATTTGTTTAAAATGGCATATTGACATACTATTCTATGTATCGTGCACAGTATGTAATTTTTCTGTATCCTTAAAATATCATAGTATGTAGCATACAACCAAAACACACTGTGTAAAACTGTCACCCATAATGCAGTGCTCCCAAATTGGCTTTCCTTTTCAAGTATAGTGAATGAGGCACAAGCTGTCAGCTGCAATTTTTTATAAAAAAAAAAAAAGATTTTTTTATCAGAAAGCAAAACATGCAGCAACCACAATATCACTGGACAATGCAGCATAGTTACTAATGTTTGACAATTATTCTTTGCTATAAAAGCAATTCTCGTATAAAAACAATATTTTTTTTTACTTTTTAGCATTCTATTAAAGCATCTGTGACGGTACACAGTATATACTGCACAGTAAAGAGTACACTACTTATTATTCCATTCCAAACACAGCCAAGAGCTGAACTAAACTAATATAGATAAGCATGTAACAGATTGGCTGTCTCAAAACCGAGCTTCCAACCTAAACAACATTTTTGGGCACCATGCTTTCCACAGTGCTGTCTAGATAGGCATCACACTAGGTTTTGAGACACAGCCACATGCTTTAGGTGCGCAGTGGTTGGCTGGAGGCGAAACCGCTATTAGTAGTAAAGCGTCACATCTGCTTTCAATCCCACTTTAACAAGAAGCTGCTGTTAGTTAATCTTAACTGTGCTCTGAAGCTGTCAGTCAGTCGGCTGCCAAAGAAATGACGCTTGTCATTTTCCTCCATTCGCCTTCCTCCTCTAATGCTCCTGTCGTCTCTCTCGCTCCCTCACACTGGGTTTTTCTTTGGTCTGTCTGTGCCCCATGTCAAGCTGAGAGAAATGTTTACACTGCAGGGCTTTACCCCATGGAGATCCCTTTGGGCGAGAACTGGGATCCGGGAAGCTTAAACAGTCTTCTAAAGATATATATGCAGCATGCTGGAAGAAATGTGCTGTTGCTCTTCTTTTTTACTGCAGATCACCTTTTCTCACTCCTCTACGTTACTCTGATGGAAGGATATGGTTTCTCTTGGATTAGGTTCCTCAGAGGAGCTGTCATTTTTATTCTTCCATTCTATTTATAATGATCATTCCTCACTGTATCTAATTTTACATTTTCCCATCCATTTTTTTCACCTAATTTTTAATGCTCAGAGATTGATGAAACCTGTGATGAACAAGATCATATTTTACCCCAAAGCCAAAAATAAAAATCTACTTTGCTTAAAGAATATGAGGAAGCTTATTTAGTACTATTTTATTAGCCCTTTGCATTTCATGCTAATTAATGCTATGTTCTTTAAATTGTAATGGTAGTTTTTGTTGTAATGCCTTTAAATTATGCTGATAAATGATTTATGCTGGGAATCAGATATTTATTTTAATGCTTTAAACTAATGAGAATTTGGTATTTTTATTATTTATTTTTAATAAATATCTACAAATACTATATAATAAATATTATATAATATAAATTACATATACATATTCTTTTATTTGACTTATTTTATATTTTAACTGCTTAATTGTCAGGTAAATGTTGGAATATTGCTCGTTTTAAAGATCCTAAAACGGGCTTTTTATTTAAAATAAGATTTTTTTTTTTTTTGAGAACATGGTTCTCTTTTATTAATTGTATTTATTTTTAATAAATTAAATACAAATATTATATAATAAATATTTCATGGTCTAAAAAAAATAAATATTATTTTTATTTTAATGATTAACTAAAACTGTCAGGAGAGTGATGGCACATTGAAAATCATAAAGATAACTAAATAGACTTTCTAATGCTAAATATAATTTTTTTTTTTTAAATAATGCCTACCATTGTTTGCATGGTTCTCCTTCATTTATTTTTCACTCAATCTCAATAAATATATAATTCATATTATATAATATAAATAAAAAGTTATGTTTGTTTAAAATAATGCTCAATGTCAACATGGTTACCTTTTATTATTTGTATTCATTTTTAATTAATTAATAAAATATTATGTAATAAATATTAATTCATATTATATAACATAAAAATACATTTAATTTATTTTGTTTCCAAAAAAACACACCATTGTTAGCATGGTTATCTTTTATTAGTTGTATTCACTTTTACTAAATAAAAAACATTATTTTATAAATATTATATAATATAAATAAAAAATTAATTAATTTCATTTGCTTAAAACAATGAAACCATATTTCTTGTACTGACCTGTTTCTCTATCTCCTTTCCTTTGGTCCTGCATGGTGTTCAGGTATACATCAGACACTTTGAAAACTTCCTAAACTCTTCTATAGCGCCAGACACTCCACTGTTGTTCATGCCAACTGGTTTTACTTTATTCTGTCCTTTTGCAATAGTGTAACTATCAGAGCTCTGTTGTAAGAAGACGTCTCCATCTCCATTTCCAATAACTGTGTTATCAGCCTAGGAGTATTTGTAAATCTATATTTGTGTTTGTTTTCAGAGATAATCACCTGTACTCAGGTGCTGAATTCTCACGCCTCCCTTCACGTGGCAAGCAGTAACTGATACAAGTGAACACAGAATGAAGCGTAAAGTCCAAATAGAAATGAATGCGGGTGACATTTAGCACAAATGTTGCTTAATTTGTGGGTAAAACATGGACACCAAACCTATCTGGCTTTTAAGTTATGACCATGAATAACAAGCAAACAGGAATCATGGCTGAAGAGGATAAGTGATTTTACACAAGTCGGTAGTGAATTTGCACCATTTCCAGATGCAGGGCCTGAAATTG